GATTGGGGTGAGCAACATAACGCATGAAAAGATCACTAACATGAGATTTTTAGGACTTACGTTCGGACAAGAGGTAGGTCGACGCCTTTGCAGGAGCAGTCACCTCGCTGATAATAGTTTTATAGGTCGAACTGGTCTGGGTGAGCGCACTCCCACATCAAAAGAACGATATGGAAATAACACAACTAATTTACTGCAGAGGCAGCGTTGGTCCCTGATGACCGTTCTGTATTTTGTTGTATGTATAGTAATTTGTGTTTCAAGTGTGGTTAGCAAGTTGTACTGACGCGAACATATTTAAGGCACGTTATGTTGCAGTAGGGCACGCTGTGTAAGTTTCGACGTTCAAGCCATTGGTATTACGCTCATCAACCATCTCTCACGATAGGATCAACATATTGTGTATGTCTCCTCGCATAGACTCTGTTTCTTTCTTGTGACGGGCGGCATACAGTCAGTGTTCCAACATTTTCGGTGACAGATGCAGTGAGTATTCCACATCAATGCCTTCCACTCCCATCAGAATGACTGAACTACAATGTAGGGGTGAGTGAGATTCTCGAACAACTCGTTGGTTCAATATAACGACACCCACAGTTGTGAGTTTTTTGACCCTGCGAATCCCCCAAGCTGAGAACTAATCGAGTTACTGGATTCGTCAGGCCTCATCATATTCAATGCACTTGATTGGACGGGCGATGTTGTAGATATAATACTGAGCGGTGAGCATTACACCTCCATGATTTGACTTGACTGAAACACCACGCAAGTCATCATGATTGCTCGGTTGCATGCCATGTATCAGCGATCTAGAAAGGTGCTGATATTTCTCGTTGTCATTTTTCTGGCCACCAGAATCGCCAATGTAGTGATGGGCGCAATAATGACGATAGACACTTCAGGGGGTAAGCTCTAATTATGTATGAAATATTTGAGTGCATCAGGCTCACTGACAAATACCAGAGGAATTCGTTCTCTCAGGCACCTATCTGTGTCTGACTGAGTATGCGGGAGATTCCCCATTTTTGTCTTGCATGACTTGGGTACTTGGCACTGTATGGGAGGTCCTTGCACTGTGTCTCGCAGTCTGGATTGCTGTGAAGCACTTCCGTGAACTGCGACAACACTCGTCAGGAGGTATCATCGGGGACTGTTTTACGGTGTTGATGCAAACTCACGTTAGTTACTTTGCGAGGTGAGCTCATAATTTAAATGCGGTTGTCTTCGTCCGCCTCACGTTCTCCACGTGCTAGCTTTTTTGCTGTTGCTTGCTTCCGTATCGGTTTATTCTCTCCAACGCTCGTAGCGGTACGCCGACCTGTCACCAACTTCTACATGCGGCCATGATTCATCATTTCTATAGAATGCATTTTCCCTGGACGTTCAAATTTATTATGGTTTTACTCAAATCTTCGTCGCTGCGCAGCTGTCTGTGCTAGGACCACGCCTCATCCTTAGCGTTCGAGAATACCATGCCAAGCTCGTGGCCGACTCTGATACAGCAACCGCTATGACTTCAATTGATTTCCAAGAAGGTGTCCATGTGGAAACTAACAGTAGTGTGTAACATGGGAGATGTTCGACACGATTGTCACTTATCGGGTACTAGTCTGCAGAATGCACGAGAATTCCTTTGTATTTATTTCAAGTTTCGTCGTGGTCTTTTTAAATATTTACTACTTCGCGAGCCGTTCACCTTCGGACGTTTACTTTGATAATGCCGTACTTGAAGGGTGACTCACTGAGCAGAAACATAGATAAGAGGGGTTGCACCAGCAAGCTACAGCTTCTTAATGCAAAGCACTGTGAGCTTTCCATAGATTACTGTGTCATTCATGATTCATTGTCAACACTGAAGCTGCTGGATCATGTCTGCCACTGTCCGGAGGTTAGTGCCTTCTTTCTGCGCGAAAGAATACCATTATCATGTACAGGTCAACTGCCAGTTTCTGTGCAATCATCACATCGATCCGACAATAAAAGTCAAAACAAGTACAATGGAGCTCTCCGTCATTAATTTATGACTCACTAAATAAGATATCCCGAATATCTTATTTGTGTGCCCTGGTATACATTTATATACACCAACGGGATCCTATCAGTAGTCAACCACGCGCTAGAGGAGATATCTAAAACCCTCGGGTAGTCCTAGAACTTGCTCTTCGGCTTCAGCAGCTTCGTTACACCGGGAAAGGTGTTCCCTAAATACCCAGAACATCGCAATGGACACGACGCTTGTCAAGATGCAAATAAGACACGAGTTGACGTATGAAGGTCCCCAACTGGACGGCCAAAAGTATCTGTGATAGTGTCAGTACCAGCTAGAGCACGAGGTCGCTGTGAACTGACGGTGAAGTAGCGTTGCCAACTGATGCCATAGTGTTTATCAATGCGATGGCTGCAGCGCGTTTAGACTGTGATTGGGAAAAGGTATTCATGACCCAGGTCAAAGCGACAGCATAGGCGATGGGGCTCTGAGCCATAAGGAAACTGTGTGGGGCACGTAAACCTGTGAAATCACAGAAGGAGGAAAGAAAGGTTCCTACAGTGACAGATATCGCATGCCTGTATTCATTGTAGAAATTGCAATGATAAACCCAGCGATGCCCACGAGTAGAGGACCGGCAATATGCCAGAAGCGATCACCAGTTATGTCGGAGTGCCTTGATTCACTATTGTCAATTCACCTATCGGACCTATGTGAAGTAAATACTGACCTGGCCACAACAAACGAGGTTGCAGTCCCCAAAATCCACGGAGGTGCGCAGAGAAAGAGGCTAGTCGTCGTGCTGTAACCCATTGTAGCGGATAGTGTCGGAAAAAAATTGGTGAATGATGTCGAAGACATGATCAAATTAAGAGCAACACCAAGCCACCACACCCTCCAATCCATAAGAGCCTCGGCAAGACCAGAGGTGTTCTCTTCGGGCTTGCCTTCGTGCTCAATTCTAGCCACAACTTCTTCCTCCATCCGTTGCTTGGCCAGTATCTGTTCATCGGGCAAAAGCCAGACGCTCGGCGTTGAAGGAAAATCGGGTAAAATCCAGATTGCACACACTGCAGTGGCGATGGTCAAAGCGCCCTCCACAAAGAAGAGCCACCTGCAGCGGAAAAATCAGAACAATTTGACTTTTGAAAGTACGCGCATTTCGGCTCAGACCTCCAAGCCGTAAAACCTAGTACACCGTCTAGGCCTGCTAAAATTCCAGACGCAATAAGAGCACTAAAAGCATAACTGATAGAGGTGCCGCAAAAAAGGAATGCTGTGCGTAACCCTAGTTCATCACGCTTGTACCTGGAGGAACTTCAGTATGTGCTGTTAGGATGTATTGGGATACTAAACCATCGCGAAAGAAGAAATATAGCTCCAGGAAAGAATGCCGCCTCTACAAATCCAATAAAGAAGCGAAAAATAAGAGCGGCAGGATATCTAGAGCAACGTTAAGAACGGACAGCATTAAAAGATCTAGACACCGACGTTTGTACCGCACCTTTCATGATCCCTCGTCAGCCAATGTCGATCAAGTGAAAGCCGTGCGACGTACTCATACACATGGTAATAGCAGCCCATGTTATCATACACCCCGAGAGGTACAATGATGGCCTTCTCATGTGGTTTAAGATCATGTTGCTTTCAAATTATCAGATATGCCGCATGACGATAAGGTGTTAGTACATACGAAGGAGCCTGGGTGAATAGATACCCCACAAAAAATATGCTGGTGAGTGTATTAAATTGATTCCCCGTCATTCCAAGGTCCTCTTCGAAGCCACGCAGCCTCGCTGCACTTGTAGGTGGTTAAGCTATTTTATCCCATATGTTTTCGAAGGCCCGCTTACGCTATATTAGTACGGTCCATCTGCGCGGGCGTTTTAGGCAGTCAGGGCAAAAGTACGTGCGCTGACGACTCACGATGTTCATAATGTAAACCAGAACTAGAAAGGCTACCCGAAGGTCTAACTTGCGGAGAAGCCTCTTCTCCACAATTGGTCTATCAATGTCATCTAGAGGAAAGGCTAAACCGCCATCACTGCTTCCGCTAGGAGCTGCATCGTAGCGGGAACTGCAGTCGACTGAACCAAGCAGGGGAAGATTTGACATTCCCGCGAATGAGAGAGATTTGGAGCTCCCAGATGCTGTTCGCTCGCAGTTTTGTATGTCGGTAGCCGAGTAATACAGGACCTGTGCCGTGGCAGGACTAGTAGAAGTGTCAAGCCTTTTCCGGTTCTATATGATTCCGATATTCGGAGCCTAACCGCTCTCAAATTGATATGAGCTTATTCGACCTTTAACGGCACCAATGATGACTGTTTGACCTGCATCGGGCGAGTGTCAGGATCATGATCATGATGGCCCTGCAATTGAATAGTCCTTTGACAAGTTAGGCTGCGAGTTGTGAGCGTCAATCGGCGCATGCGGGAATTGAAGTCTGGCGTATTTATTAGATGTACTATAGCTATGCATGCAACATGCAGACAATTGGCAGAATGTAGGAAAGAGCCGATCCAGGTCTGCCAACTGCAGTACTGCGACAAAAGGGCGTTCTAACGCTTCATCCCGGAGTCCGTGACATTGCACCTGCTTGTTGAGTATATGGCATCTGTAATGGAACATATGGAAAAGCGAATGGAAAGTCTGTGTTGACTAAGCATTAATTTTGTTTTATAAGTGTCGTTGATCGTACCGTAGGCCGCATCTAGTTCGCGTTCAGTCTTTTCCATCCAGACCGAGGCTCGTTTCTCTCTCGCAGCCTGGGGCCGTTGCAATTAACAAGTTGCCCATGTTTTGAAGTCTGATCTGTCCATGGGTCGTCAGATACAAATCACCAACTTAACAACAAGTCTTCTAGATGCCCTGTGGCACGTCTCTCGAATCCTTTGACTAGGTAAATCAGACATGGTCATAGTGTTTGAGCTCTGCATCGTCAGTTTATGACTAGCGTGACAACAGGTTCGCAACAACATGTGTGTGCATGTGACCGTCCACCCAAACTGGTATAAGTTTTTCAGGGAACTTTGCAACTTTTGGCCCACTCATCGTTCCTTCCCATGGACGTCGGACCCTTAAGCTTGGGACTGAAAAGCTGTTTCAATGGGTGATGCCGGGTCGTATATCATATATCAAGACTCATCAAGCTTTCCGATCATCTCATCTCACGCCACCCTCCTCCCTTCCGACAACAGCGTCGAATTTGCTTGGGGCCAAACCTCTCCTGTCCGCTGTGCCTCTCGATATGGTCAATTGGCAAGATTCACAAGTGATCGAGGACTGGAGCGCAGTTCTCGTCGATATCACCTTTGTCATGCTAGGATTATACGGGTGTGTTTCTCCTTCATGTTTCCACTGAAGCTTACACAGAGATCGATATATCAAAAGATGGAGTTACATGAATTCCTGCCAGGTCGAAAGTGCTCTACTTCGTCGCCAGCTTCCATTTCGATGGCGAATGGTGAACACATTTATGGTGTCGTTTGTGATTGAATTTGACGCGTTTCTTCAGGTTCCCTATTTGATCGGTCGGACGTGCTTTCTCGTGACTCTTATACTCTCGTCAGTGCGTCTACGACAATACTCGGTGCTGGTACTCATCCAACTTCAGCTCCGTGACCAGCGTCGCCATCCCGTCCCATATCGACTGCTATTGTAAGCATCAGAGCAACCACTGCGTTCGTTTCCCTTACACTTGTCAATCATTGCAGACGTGTTGAAATTCCTGGCGGTAGGGCGTTCGCTTGTCATATGATTTCTTTCTTTTGATATTCGTCCCAGTTCTCGGGTAATATCGTTGTGGCTTGTACATCCACGAACCTTGTCATCCGGACGTGAGTCTCTCCTGTTCTTGGTGGTTACTTGGTCTCATACCATGCTCAAGATGGACCGTTTGGAAGACCAACCGTTTTGTCTGTCTGTTCATGGGGCTGATGACTCTAGGACACTGGTTCATGATGATTCTAGGTATGCATCCTACATCCGTATACACGCCAGCCACCTGACCTCTCACCCCTCCTCAAAAACAGACTCAAAAGAAACACAAATCTCATCATCACCTCCAACTTCCGAATTCTGCGGATTCATGATTGTGAATCCCACATATTCAGCTGCTACGTCCCTGTACAGTGAGTCCCGTCTGGTCTTGTATCAAAGCACAGTACTTAAGATTTATGACAGCTACGATATTAGACTTTGTGCTCTTGAAACTGACGATCTTCGGCTATTGGCGCTCCTCGTCATTGTCTCTCGTCACGATCATCCGTACCCAAGGCATCATCCTGTATTTCATTGTGTTTTTTGCTAGTGTCCTTCCGGCCGTACGTTCTTTTCTTTGTCGTATCATGTTCGTGCTCGTGCTGAAGTATGTCTAGATATTTTCTTGGTTGGACCTTAATTGTGAGTGGCGACCACGTGTCCTGAGGCGATGTTGATTGATTGATGGGGTGATATAAGATATTATGAATGTGTTCTTTGCTTGGCCTGGTACGTCCATGTCGAGATTCGATCTTGTCTTTGATGCTCACTGACGGGGAACTGTAGCAACTTGTGTCATGTATGACACCCCTTCTCTCCCTCTCCACATCCACATCCACTCACTTTTGCACAGGACGATAGCATCAAGCTACGCAGTGACTCCAACATTCCCCACGCCTCAGAGTACAAGCCACAGGTAAGCCATCCAATCCATTCTACCCATGACCACCCTCACGCGGTGATCGTCAGAGCTCCTGTGAATACGATGGTGGAGAAATCGAACGTGCGGATTATGAATCCCGTTTTGTCTGAGTGAACACGGCAGGCGGGTTTTCGGTTTAGTTCGGTTGTGAAAAGATAGTGTTGGATTCGATAGGGTGGGGAGGCTGTGCGTTGCAGGTCTTGTACTATCCTAGTACAGCCTTTAAACATGGTTTCTGCAACGCTCATTATGATACCTTCAAGTTCTTGCTGCGACGTCGCCTGAGGTTCCACTCAACTAAATCAAATAAGAAAAAAGTCTAAGCAAATACTATGTATGTATGTGTATAGCTAACCGTAAGACGAGTTGAAGTGAGGTATGATATGATACATGCGTCGACGGAGCGTGAGCGTGCGCGTACTATGCTGGGGATGTGTTGGAGCTTGGGGTCCGAGCTATAAATATATGAGCGGCAGAAGGAATGAGGCGGTGGGTAGGTGGCTACGGAATGAATGTCCGCTGTGTATAGTAATAGATGGAATAAACGATCAAGGAACGTCGTTGTACTCGAATAAGGTAGCAAGCGCAGGAATCCAATGTCCAGTGTAGAGAGAAGGAGAAAAGGAAAAGAGGGAGTCCTAGTCCAAGCAATAAGAGATACGACGGCCCTGAGAACGATCAACGTGAGGGGCGATCCGAGCGCGCTCCGCTTTACCTCCCAGGCGCGGGGAGATAAGGGAGAACCAAGGTCCTTGATAGCTCGACTCACTGACAGCGCGAGGGGCTCTTTTGTCTCTGTCCATTCCCCTGCCCTAGACTATTTCCTTGTCCATCGCTCCCAGCCCACAAGTGGGTGTACTCGCATCCGCCCATCCCCAAAGATGAAGACGGTGACTCGGCGAGCGCTACGATAGGGATCGTGAATCTCTTCCTTGGTGGACCCACGGGCTTCATCGGTGCATCCAACGGCTTGACCTGCATCGTTCCTAAGTCTATCGGAGAGGGCACTGATGATGTGCGGCGTGGGTGGAAATTTGATATTGGCTTGTCAGAGGTAGGCATCGACATTTTATCGCGCATAGGTTCACGCATAGAGTTGTGCATATGGGGATAATAGGAATCCTCAGCAGCAGCATCATCCACGTCCGAGTTCAGGATAAAGGCTTCTTCTGGATAGTCGCATTCCAGATTTGGACTGGTAGTATTGCTATTAGCAGGAGACTCTGGTGGGCTACTTGAGGCGAGAGAGGCAGTTGTGAGAGAGGGAGTGGAGAATTCGGTGTCTGATGCGAAGAGGGAGCAGTCTGTGTCTGAGTTGTAGCATGATTCTGGTTCTGAGAAGGGGTCCTGGGGTGGACTAGCGGTTGTGCTGTCCAAAAGAGGGATGAAAGCAAAGCGTTTTCGGGGAGGGAGGTTACTCTTTATTAGGGGGAGAGGAGAGGGTGTTGTACGTGGTGGAGGGAGGGGAGGAGGTGGGACTGGTATGTTATGTGGCTTAAGCTCTGCTGATTGGATCGGTCTACAGCGTTGCTTTGACGGGGACGCGAATAAGATTGAATTTGGATGAAGGTCGAGCGCTGGATAACCTGTTGTTGGTGGTGGTGAGATTGGTGGTGAAGCCGGTGAAGCTGATACTGTTGTTGGATTTAGTGGGAGGAGTGGGATTGGTACGTTGCGAAGAAATACGCCAGAGTAAGGCCTGGATGAAAGTGGGTCGTGACTCTGCTGAGCACGAGGCAGGGAACGTTGAATCATCTTGAGCTCAAGTACGTCCCTATAAACCCCCAAAAGTCAGTATATGAAATTTACAAAGTCGTGTGACTGACTCGTATGAGAGACGTTGTGAAATTTCAGTGGGTGTTCTATCCCACTCATCAGCTTCAAAGACTTGTTCAGTTCCAAATGCGACATGTTTCTTGCAAGTGCCATCGTCCGTGTCAGATTCTACGGGGGTGGCAGAGCCAGAATGCGAAGGAGATTTTAAACAAGATTTCATGCGAGGTAGAGAAGGTCTACAAGTTGAAGGATCGTCGCAGCTGTCGTCAACCTCGCTCATAGTAAAATAGTATTTGAACATCCCATGAACTATAACTTTTCTTCTTTCAAGCCTATCGGGCATGCACGGAAACGGATGATCCCGTGATTTGATCCGTGGTAGGCCTGGTAGCCAAGCCACAACCAGACCTCTTGGCCAGACCACCAGATCATTCCAGACCACCAGAACCCTGAATTCAAGCCTTTATTTTGACAGACCAAGCCTTAATGTTGGCACTTCTGACCCACTGCATGTCACCCAAGTACTGCTCGAGTACCCCACCTTCACTATTTTGCCATTGGTTTCTATTTCAGGATCACCGCATGCACCACAACGAGTCACCCACACCTCCCAACGGCTCTTAATGCCCAGCAGTCTCCCGATCATAACCGAAACTAAAAACTTTTCATTCAAAGTTTCATCACTCTGTATCCATTCAAAAATAGAAATAGGTCATGAACTTCGAATTACTTGTATGCCTTGGACCGTTGTGGCCATCGTAGGCTACCTTTCGGTACCGCTTTATCAGCAAGTTGGATAGGCAGTGGTATACACTGATACTCCATGTTCTAGTGCATGTCTGGTTCGAGCACCTTCCCGTACTACCCATACTTGGATCCGGATGACACAGCTCGCCAACCGTTGCATTTTACTTCCAGTGCATCGCAAACACATCTCTCCATTCAGCCGACTCAACTTGGACCCACCCGCAATTATCTTTTTGGTTCCGATTCAGTCCAACGTCCTCGACAAGGCCAGCGAGGATGCCACACTCCGCACGTCATAGCATCAACTGGGGTGGGGTTCTACTTCTACCACAATTACGTTCCACACCTCTATAACGCTGGCATCTCATACTTCTACCATAATTACGTTCTGCACTTCTACATCGGTGGCGTGTCATACTTCTGCCAGTGTGATCTTCCACGCCTCTACAATGGTGGCGCCTTATACTTTTACCACAGTTACGTGTGGCGTCTCATACTTCTACTAGTGTCCTTCTCTCACTAACATACTATCCGTAAGTAGCTTGCTCTTTACATCCACCACCATTAGTCACCCTCCATCAGATCGGAAACCCTGATGTCATTATCATGCAATGTCAACAGCCGACGCTTGGGATCCCGAATAATATCAATATGTGTGGATGGATTTGAAGATGAGAATACAGAACTAAGCCTGATTGTTGAAGCTGAAGCTAGCTAGCGTAGCGCGCAGCAACAGCGATACGAAGTGCCGGTACGACAGCGCATATCTATCACCTTGCTATCACCGGTACTTGCAATAACACATCCTATAAACAGCCAAGTAAGTCCGTTTTATCTAGTTGCATCAAGCGCCTTCCATCTGAATGATTTCATATCTGGGTTGGAAGTTGATACCGCCGTTGATCTTTTCTGAGCATGGCTGCGGCTGGGATTTGTCCTATTTATGGAGGGCCCGTTATGCAGCGACGACAACGACCGCGATAACTGCTAATAATATGACGGTTATCCATCCCCGACTACAAGATCAAGGTCACCGAGTCGGAGTAAAGCTTGGACCCCAATTTCAATGCCGACGCCGACGGGGACGTATAGCCGCTTAGCACTCAGGACTCAGGACTGGTCGTTGCTCACCTGGCAGGGCATCCGGATCTATCATACCCCGCATCCAAAGAGCGGAATCCAAGACGTCATACTTGCATACGATATTTTTTCCCCAGATCGGATCCGGATACTGTAGATTGGAGACCTCCTCGGATGTGACGCGAAAGAAGGTGAACGACCGTGTGCTAGAAACAGAGTTGCAACAGCGCTTATTATTACACCTGAAACACGGCCAGAAAGTTCCATGTATGGACAGATGCGATGCATATCCCGAGACATATTGTATGTATCGATTTTGAATTTGAGCAGCATTTGTCACGGACGGCCATGTTATTATCAGCTGAGTGACTTAGTGTCCGCTTACTGGTAACTGGTCGATGTTGGGGACTTGACAGAATCAGTTTCGATAATAAATATGATTCATATCCAGGTCGAAACTTCCAAGTGGGTTTCGTCTACACTTGAACATGGCACGCGGAAACCCATTTTCCAGAGGGTCACCATACAACAACAGCCAGCTAATAAAATTATGGTCATGATTATTGATGATCCGCTTATACATCCATGAGCTCCCAAGTCGAGGCAGAATCTTCCATTGGGAGGGCCGGCCGGGCCCGACGGATTCAGGATTCCGAGAAGCGACTGCTGGAAACTCGGTCGTTAGTCGGGAAGTCTGAGTCCGAGTCACTTGGCAGGGCAAGAAGCCGCAATTGCAAGGAGATCGTCCGGAACTATCGTATCCCGCACGTCTACATCCGAAGTGGACGTCATAATCATATTCACATCCCATATACATTTCAAGATCGGAAACACGTCAGGTGTTCATGCACATGCGAGACCTCGTGGATTGTGGTGAATGAGGGTGCGGAGCAAGCCTCATGACTTACTGACCTATAACAGTCAGCTGACATGGTCACCCCTCCATGCATCCCCAGGAGGCTTTTGTTGATTGACCGTTAGAAATCGAGTGCATCCTTTGTCAGAAAGTTTGTGGGGTTTCTTTTCTCTGACCTGCATGTGTCTCGTGGTATCGGACGGAGAGGTCGTACAAATAGGTCTCCATGGTCTGCTCTAAAAGGAATCTGTATTCCAATACACACACATGCAGTATGATGTATACGAAATGCCAATGAAAACCTCTCGGATCCCCAATCTTCGGAGGAAAATGAATCTATAGTATCTCGATCGTCCTGACGTCCATCAAGTCCCGAACAGAAACCACATCTTTGACTTGCGCAAGGATATCACGATCCGACGCGACCCTCTTGTATTCTCCGCCGCGCTGCCGCACTAGTAAAAATGCCCCAAAAAGCTGCCCAAGACGAACAAGTAACCGTAATGCCCGCAATTCTGGGTCATCAACCACCTGTTTTACAAGAGAATGACTAGGTGAGTCATTCGACGGAGAAGGCGGCGTCCAATCATGCCCTTCGCTCTCTGCATCGTCTTGAAGATCTACAAAGTCTGATAACTCGAGGAGAGACCGATCCCAAGGGCGGACGAGGATGAAGGTCTGCTGAGTGGGCCTGGTCCGCAAGAACTGGACGATCGGCTTTTTGGTGGTGATCAGCAGGTCATCAAGCCCGTCTGCCTTGACTTCATATCGAGTCTCCTGCGATGTACTATAGCTCAAACTGACTTGTGTGACACGGAATACCATGCAAGGCAGATGTAGTCTGCAGTTCGCGAAACGAGCAGCGCTCGTGTTGTCAAGCCGGTCGTGAAGTTCTAAAGCCAAATCCACAACCATGAGATTTTCTCGCAGGGAAGAGATAGTTGTCTGAATATGATCTTCGGACAAAGGTGGAAGGGCACGTGCAGGGGTGGCGTAAGAAGTGATATAGGCCGGAAGACAGCTATTGAACTCGGAAGGTTGTCCGACCCAGTCGAGGACCGTGATGTCTCCCGACCGAGCCACGATCTCCTGCAGGAGCCGCCCGAGCGCGTTCTGTTTCTTCTCCCCGTAGATTACAGGTAGGTGGACACCGAATATCCCAAACAATGAGTACGCGATATCTTCTTGCAATGTGGTGACGCGAGATGACGCCCATTGAAGTCTCTGTCGGGCGTCGCTCATCCCAGGACTAAAGGAGATCAGAGCCCGTGCATCTATTCCTGTCGCATCCTCCAACTCCTTCATGATTGCAGGGGACTCTTTGTGGTTGGAAGAGCGATCATCGAGATATAACGACCAATCCTTTTGATAGAATAATACAACTTTCGGAGCGACGAACTCTTGAAAGGTCCATCCTCGCTTGTTCCAGACACTCCTCACTAATGCGCCGGGTTCAGATGAAGAGGATACATCGGATAGGTATACAATAGTGAGCGCTGAATGGCGGTACCAGACGAACATGGAGTTCACTGATTCTTGGACCTCGGTGTTGCTCCTCTTGTCGATGCAGCATGTGTCCATCCAAGCCCAGCGATACCCAGCGTCACGAGCGACTTTGCAGAACGACTGCAATTTCGTGATCCCGCCAAGTTCCTTCAACTCGCGCACATCGGTATCCTGAATTTCGTGCAGCAGCACCTCCGTCTCTTCCCACCTGTGTGATAACAGGACGCAACGGAAATACGTCGCTACCACTTCCTTGATGCGGTCCATTTCGAGGTCTGAATGCTTCGTTGTCAATGATACAAGCTCCTTGTACTCTAAACTCGTTTTTAAGGCGTGTATTTGTGCCGCTCGATCGCATAAAAGACCCGTGGAGGTATTAAGCAGACGCAGCGGGGCATATTCGAGTTCAATCCAGACTGCTCTTTGAATCGCGTCTTCTGCTTCAGATGGACAGATATACTGCTGACGCAGATCTATAGAACCAGATAGGTATTTCGAGATCATGCAGCAGTTTCCCATGGCTTACCTCGTATCCGACCTTCGGGAGAATCGTCCAACTTGGACAACATGATTTTGAACGCCTCGATGGCTTCGTCGTAACGTTGCGCCCCACGCAGCGCTGTATGCATCAACTCGTATCCAACGTGAGATGAAGGATTGAGTTCGGTAGCCTATGTGTGAATTGCTGAAGTTAACATGGGCTACGAAATCATAGATGCCACCGTACCTTTTGCGCATCGAGAAGCGCCTCCTCCCATAGCATTTTCCCCAACTTCGCCCTGCTACGATTTGCGAAGATGGCATGGGATCCAGAATCCAGATCGATAGCTGCCGAGTACAGGTCGATGGCCATGCCATACTTGCTTGCAGCGAGGGCAGCGTCCCCGCTGGTAAGACAGAGTGTGCTGAATTCTTCCATGAACGCTGAGTGAAATGGGGGAGAGAATTGTAGCTCGTGCGACATTAAGAACTCCTGACTTGCCTTTGGACCATTCAAAGCAGCTGGCCTTCGTTGTTTTGTCGATATTGTCCACCATGTATCGGTATGATCTCAAGGCATCTTGAAGTTTACCTGCCCGAAGGAGTGCATCGCAGCGTTTCTGGTGTGCAGTCAACCACAGCGATTTGAGATCCCAGCCGAAGAGCTGAACAAGAGATTCGATTATGAAAGCATTTCGAGTGTGTGTTAACGTATCACCACCAAATCCTCATATATTTCATGAATGTTAGATTTCGATGATGAATCACGGCAATCGAGAGCGGCGGTGAAATGGTCGGCGGCTTCTTCGTGACATGCGCCACCCAAGGCTTTGATTCCGAGTTGAACGTGTAGATATGCCTGATGTGCGAGTTGTAAAGATAAATACGAGTGTTGATGACCAAGCATAGATGATACTTGCCTGCACGACACGACATGCGAGAGTGTCGGCATGTGGACATCCGGTAGTGAGTTCTTTGAGGAGCAGGTTTGCCTCGTCGTGTTGATCTGCATTGAAGAGCGCGATGGCCTAAAATATGCGATGATGCGGGGAGGACGTCAGGCAAATGCAACATACTTTGATCAAGAGCAGGAAATAGAGGGTTTGTGAATCTTGGTCTGTGTAGATTGATGCAACATCAAATGCTGCCCTCGCATCTGGGACGCGGCCTTGTCTGCAGAGAGCGATACCCTTGGAGATATAGCCTGTCAACGAGGGCTGAATGCTAATGGACTATGTCACCGTCAAGTAAGTCTTTTGAAAGGGGGCGTGATGAGTCAGCGAATCTCGCCTTGATTGCATCCTGAAGGGCGTGGTCCAAATCGTGTTTTCGCGCCATAACAAATGAACGATGGGCGTAGGAAGTATGGCTGTTCGGGTTGGTGTTGATATCTTGAGTGAGTAGTTCTTCGGCGGTAGATAAGTCTCCATTTACACATGAAACACGGGCGATCGTGATGGCTAGAATCTGCACGAAACATGCTCGAATGGTGATATATATGAGTCAAGGGCAGAAACATGCCTTTGAGAGATGGGAGTAGGGAGTACGATTGTTTGCATCGGTGGTAATATCTTGCGTGGGTAGTTGTTCACCAGTAGATAAGTATCCATCTATGCATTCATCGCGGGCTGTTGTGATGGCGATAGTCTGCAAGAAGCAAGCTCGATTTGTGGTATATGAGCCAGAGACAGAAACATGCCTTTGGATGTATACCCTGAGGTACTGTCCACTCTGAGATCATCTTATCTTCACCTCCGCTGAAGATATGATTGCCGTCCACGGAGAAAGTGACGCATACTGTGTGGAACGAGTGCTTGAAGACGGCAATAGTTTGTCGGTCTGAGAGCCGCCAGAGACGGATGTATTTGTCGATGGATGCGGAGGCGGCAAGTGTGCCAGCAGGATGAATGGCAATGGCATTGATTCGGTCAGTGTGGCCCCTCCAAGGATCCCCAACCTGCTTCCAGGTTGTTGTATCCCATTCGTTTATAGTAGGCTCGTAACGATCGCCGCCTGTGAGAA